AGATGGGCTTGGGGGGTTTTGGGCGACTTAGGATGTATATAGGCGGACTTTAGGATGTAGGGCTTTGGGGTTTTTGGGGACTTAGGATGTAAAGCTTAGGGGCTTTTGGGATGTAGGGCTTTGGGGTTTCCCGAGGAGATGAAGACGTGAAATCTAGCACGTATCGGCCCGCGTCTGGAAGCCCGGAACTTGCTACGGTTGATGATAGAAATCAGGGTTTAGGGTTTAGGGTGGTTTAGGGTTTAGGGTCTAGTAGGGTTTAGGGTTTAGGTGGTTTAGGGTTTAGGGTTTAGGGTGGTTTAGGGTGTAGGGTTTAGGGATCCTGCATTACCTTAAGGACCCTAAACCATGGGAATTATGGGTCTATTCCTTATAATGGGCTTCTAATGCGTACTGCAGGATTGATATCATCAGCCGTAGGATGATTTCGGGCAGCCCCGGATCTCTTGCAGCTAGGGCTGCTAGGGGCTCGAGCAGCTTACTTGTAGGGTTTAGGGTTTAGGAGATCCCAACCCCTTATAACCTTACATACGTCGGGCTGGGCTGAACCCCTTTGCTCGTTGCTTCGATGAATGCTGTCCGAATTGCCGTGATGTGCGGCTCTGTGCAGCTGAGGGCTTAATGGGCGGAGCAAACATCAGTAAGCGCTGGCGTGATTTCTGTGTCCTTTGGTTTTTAAATATCCTGTAGCAAACAACATACCCCAAGATACTGGATACTGGCTTTAAGGCTGTGCCAACCGTGAGTAAAGGTGGGGGCGTCGGGCCAAGGCTAGTGCCAGCACTACATGGCACTCTATCCTGGCACCACTATGCAGCAATGCAGAATTGACAAACAACTTGGGCTGTAACCGCAAGACGGAGCTGAAGCGCAATCTAGACGGAGAAAGCAACGGCACGAAAAACGGTGGGATTGTATTATGCTGCCCACTGTCTAGCTTGTGCAAGAAGGACACGGTTCGTAGACTGATACCGGGACGTCTTAAATGAATAGCAAACCTGGCCCCTATTATAGCCTTTAAATTGATGTACGTGCCCCAGAACCCTGTTCTAATCAGATTTGCTGCCACTAGTATATGAATTAGGCACGAGACTCACAAGAAGATGACCACACATGCTCTGATTGACACAATGATCATCGCCTGAATCCTTAGCGGTGGCCGCTTGGCCAGCAACCTTGTGCTTGCCCAAGGCATGATACTCATGTGACAAGGCTGTCGGAAAGCCCGTCCCTTCTTGCCAACGCGCTCCTGCTTACCTTCTCACCGCGGCTTCTCCACTAAAGGGACGGGATCGTGAGAGCTCTAGCTGCTCTGCCGAAGAATGAACTTCGCAGTGACGCTGTCAAGCGACGGAGCCCACCCTCGCGAGCAGGGTGAACTTTCGATTCGTCGCATGAACCTCCTCGACAACGGCGATGTCCAGCTCATGCTCGGCTGCGAGACATTCCAGCACACTTTACGAGACAGCTGAATGATGGCCAAGACAAGGCAGTCCAAAGGGATCAGAATCAACAAGGTTAGATCCACTTGTTCGTGCCACCGCCTCAATGTTGCACCCTGCACCCGCACTCGCACCCTGCTTTCAGGCATTTTCCTGCCTAATTTCACGTGAGCAGGTTTAGGATGGACAGGTTCGGAAAGGATACACTGTAAATATAGCCTGGCCAGGTCTTAACTATGTTCATGGTTTTTCGTAAGCTTAATAGCAGTCTATCGATCGACCGATCAATGTATCTATCTGTCTATTGCTCTCTCTATCTACCTACCGATCTGTCTATCTATCTAGCTATCTGTCTGTCTGTTTGTCTGTCTGTCTGCCTGCCTGTCTGTCATCGCCGTCTATCCCTCTCTCCATCTACCTACCTATGTGTCTATCTAGCTAACTGTTATGCATAAGGCATAAGCCCTGAAGAATCACCCGCTGGGGCGCAGACAGGCACGGGCCAACTGTCATCTTTCGTCCCTTCGGAGAGCTTGGGGCTGGTTCCAAAACGGGGGACCCAACAAGTGGAATAAGGCGCCTCTATGGATCCTTAAAGGCGTTGTATAAAGGCTACTTACGGCTTAGGGGGATAGTTTCAAAAGACTGTCGGAGCTATTCTGAATGTCTAAGAGATCAGCTTATTATAGTTATTTGTGTTTGGGCGTAAGCCCTAAACCCTAAACCCTAAATTTCAGAATGTGCGTTTAGGGCTTAGCGAGCAGGATGTGGGTCTCGGGTTTTGGATCTAGCAGGTATCGGCTCCAAGGTTCACTGGTTTGAAACTTTAGGGCTTTTTTTTAAAGTGCAGTAGGGTATACCCATAGGCTCCTTAGTAGTTCCTTTTGGGGGACTTCCTTATGGAATTCTAAATATGAACCATAAAAAGGAACTACTATGGAGCCTATGGGTAGGGTATAGGGTTTAGGGGGGGTTAGGGTTTAGGGTTGTCGAAGGTTTTAAGGCCTTGGGTGTACATCACGGTGTGTAGGCTTCACATGACGGGACTTAACATGTTGTCAGGGGCGTTTGTAAAAAAAAACAAGTGATGTCAGAACGTTTCCTAAGGCTTTCTTAGGCTTGAGGATACGATTTCGGGCTTCTTTGGGGGTGGGATGCGGGAAGTTGGGGGAGGTTCGGGGCGTAGGATGACAGTGGCAGCGAAACTTCGGGATGGCCCCAAGAGAGGGGGTTTAGTGGTTTAGGGTTTAGGGTTTGGGTTTAGGGTTTAGGGTTTGGGGTTTAGGGTTTAGAGAAAAGGGCTCCGGTAAACTAAGTTAGGACCCCCTTCGCCCCTTTTGGGCTATGGCACCACCCACCCCACCAATCATTAGCCCAATACTTGATCACACTCTATCACCCCAATACTCCTATCTACCCCCTAAACCCTAAATCCTAAAATACCTAGGTGCCATAGCTAAAAAAAAAAGGGCAAGGTGGTCCTTATCGGCCCTAAACTCCTGGAAACTCTGAAAGCCGAAGGCCCGATAAGGCGGAGGATCCCTATATAAAGCCGAAATGTGCAGCCACGGTTTAGGGTTTAGGGTTTGGGAGTTTAGGGGTTTAGGGTTTAGGGTTTAGGGCACCTCCAGCTTCCGATGTCCAGAATCCGTTGTTCAAACTTCGACGCTCGAAGTGTGCAGCTTGACGTATCTGGGCCCCATAACGACCACCATGAGCACAGGACGGAGCAAAAAAAGACAGCAACCAATGACTTGGGCTCTAAAGCAGCTGCGCCGATCCACACCGTCGTTGGAATTAAGACGTAGCCGGAAATCCCCGAAGGTGTCAGATCAAAGAATTTCTGCCGCCGCCTTGGCTTTGGCTTTCTTCCCTGCCATTTGCTCTTTTTCCGGTCATGGCTGAAGGACTCCAGGGCTTCCATAGACCCTAAACCCCTAAACCCTAATCTAACTAGACCCCCAAACCCTAAACCTTAAACCCCTAAACCCTAAACCCCCTAAACCATAAACCCTAAACAGTGCGAAAGTGAATAGTGTGCAGGGATTTCGGACCTTCCGCTAAACCCCAAACACACACGCTTCCAAGCACCTCTCCGCAACCGCTTTTACCTGAAACCCCTGCTGAAAGGCAGCAGCTGCCATCTAAACCCGAAGCCCTAAAAAGCTTCAACCCTCAGGCTCATGTAGAACACCCCCTCATTGAACCCTATACACCCTAAACCCGTACTGAAACCATTCAACCCCAAACAAAACAACCAACAGCAAGGCAACAGTTGAAAACAAAACACACACAAAACAAAGAAACCCATCAAAGGAATCCGGAAAAGGAGCCCTCAAAAAGCACCAACACAGAGCAACCCCACAAAAAGAACCAACCAAAAGGGAACCCGTCAAACAAATCCTCAGCCATCCGAGTCCCTAATAAAGAACCGGCCTTGATCCAGTGAACTGGCGCTTCGAGCTCGCGAGAGCGCGCTCATCTGCGCCTTAAGCGGTCTGGCGCTATACCCATAGTCTCCATTGTAGACCCTTCGTTTGGGTTCAGCTCTCGCTCTCGCTATGTTAAGGATCCTAGAAGACTAGAAGGTAGCCCCAAAAAGAAACTACAATGGAGACTATATGTGGGGGTTCTTTTGTACGGATGCTTCACGGGGTCCTGTACGGGTTCCCTTACGCGTTCCCCTGTTTGAGGGTTTCTAGGTTCTAGAATACAGGGGCTAGGGTTTACAGAGGTTTGGGGTTCACGGTTTGGTGCTATCAGGGGCTATTTTGTCATGGCATTCAAGATAATTAGAGTGACTAAGAGGGTAGATTGTACTAAAAGGGGGCTTCGTGTGCTAGCTTCGTGTGCTAGAAAAAAGGTTCAACGTCATTTCTTCTTGTCTTGCTAAGGTCTCGCCGTTCTGTAGCTGTCTCAGTCCCAGCCGTTGTTCTCTGTAGGCGTTCGGGTGGTGCAGGATTTGGGCTTTCGGGCGTATCATAGAGAGTTGTGATTTACGGACTCTACGATTCAAGGATTAGGGCTCGGACCCAAGGGGTTGATTCTCGGTGAGAAGTTCAAGGATCGCGCCCTGCGGTTTGGAGGGTAGGGCTAAGCTTCAGGCCCCTAAGTAGTTCCTTTTTATGGTTTATCTTTAGAATCCTAAAAGGTAATCGCAAAAAAGGGAAACCCTGAACCCTATTTATGGTTTATATTTAGAATCCTATACGGTAATCCTTAAAAAGGAACTACTTAGGGGCCTAGGGCTAAGCTTGAGGCATCTTCAGGGCTGTGGACCACCCCAAGCCTGTGATAGTTGCACCCCTCCGTTTCCCAAGGGGCCGACCTACCGGTTTAGGGTTTTAGGGTTCTAGGGTTTCAGGGTTTCGGTTTATCGTTGCTTTCATATCCAAGCAGACTAGGCAACAAAGAGTCCCAGCGTCATTGCTGCAACCTGTGAGATGGAGTAGATTTGCTTAAGACGGTCATCTGCGGTGGCATAACGGCTGCCCGACACGAATATAAGAAACAGATCTGGCCAAAAGTCATCAATATCGGGCCGCTGCCAAACCATTGTTAAGTGGCCCCTGCATCCAGGAGTAACTTGACAATGTCCACGTAACCACGCATCCTCGCCGTGACGAGAGCTTCATTGGCGGACCGCTCAACGCAGGCACCGGCTTCCAGGAGAAGCCGCACTATTTCCAAGTGCCCGTACTCAGCTGCTGCTGCAAGAGCTGTACGACCAGCTAGAACCGGAAACCCAGGGTCATACGCGTTCTTGTCCGCACCGGCCTCCAAGAGCAACTGGACGATATCGATGAGACCTCCGCGGGCTGCCTTGACCAAAGCTCCGTCGACCCACACGACACTGGCGCCGGCTTCCAAGAGCAAGCGCACTACTTCCAAGTGTCCACTTTCGGTTGCCGCTGCCAAAACTGTTGTGCGAGAACCATACCTTATCTCACATGCATCCTTGTCCGCTCCGGCCTCTAGGAGCAACCGGACGATGTCAGTATGACCTCTGCTGGCTGCGCTGAAAAGAGCTCTGTTCAGAGCTCTGTTGCAAGACCCTTCGCCGTGGGTGCCGGCTTCCAACCACAACTGCACCATTTCCACGTGGCCACCCGAGGATGCCGCTGAAAGAACTTCCCCGTTTTCGTCCTTGTCCGCACCGGCCTGCAGAAGCAACCGGACGATGTCGATGTGGCTTTTGCGGGCTGCATGAGCAAGAGCGTCGTTGGCGGGCCCTTCAATGCGGGCACCTGCTTCCAACAGCAAATGCACTATTTCCAAGTGCCCATGCTCGGTTGCTTCTGAGAGGGCTGTTAGAAGGTCTGGGCCCGGACCACCACCCCAGCTTAAGTCCTCAGATTCCGGGTCAGTGATTGCGAGGTTTGGGTCTTGGGGTCGCTGCAGAAGCTCTTCAACCTTCACCACCTTGCCATCCCTTGCCGCCTCACAGAGTTCTTCCGCTTGCTCTTCAGAAGTGTCAGAGAAGGGCAGCACAAGCAATTCCACGTCAGTCACTTCTGCGTCCAACCTGGCGTCATCAACCAAGACCGTGCCCTGATGAGTGAGCCTCTGCCTGAAACGCGAGACGCCGCAAAGCCCATGCAGCCGCTGTTTCAAGGCCCGTACAGTGCTCAGCTGATCCCGGGGTACAGCGATCTCTTCTCCCGACATCCTGCAGACATGCAGCGCGTCCAGAGTCTCCATGGCCCACTTATGTGGGTGTCCGATAATGCCGATGCTCACATAAGCTTCTGAATCCTACTACGTAGCAGACTGACCAGAATTGTACCTTCAAACACATCTATTGACATTCGTGAACTCCAAACTACAGTACCAGTTGCGCTTTGGCCCTGCAGGATGTAGTGTTGGTCCGTTTGATGCGAGGGTTTCCCTCACCTTGCTCAAGCTGCAAACGCTTTCGATGGATTGGATGGTTATGTCGTATTGGTGGCGCTGAGAGTTCTTAATTAGGCCTTTGGCTCAGGCGTTGTTGTGGCTGGTCTCTTCTGCCAACAACACATGAGCCAACGCCTATACCTTTAGGGTCTAGCAATGACAACTAGCACGAGGGCGCTGCAGTGGGAGATCTAGCGGTATAGCCCTGAACAACCTGAAGAATCAAAAATACTGCCCTCCTTTCGTCCCCTAAAAACCTTACCTTGGACTATAGACGACTGTAGTGTTAAAACTATGGGAAGCCCTTCATTCCGCATTGATTCCGCATATCTCGGGCCTAAGCTAGGGTTTTGGGAAGATTTTACACAGGGTTGTATCGGGGCTTGGTAGGATGTCATAACCCTAAACCCTAAACCCTAAACCCTAAACCCCCTAAAGGTTACATCGCGGGCAATCCCTAGCTATGGAGGTCATGAACGGAAGTCCACGGTTCCGGAGCTGCGGAGCTGGATTAGGGCTTAGGGTTTAGGGTTTATAGGGTTTAGGGTTTATAGGGTTCAGGGTTTAGGGTTTTTAGGGTTTAGGGTTTATAGGGTTCAGGGTTCAGGGTTTATAGGGTAGCATCAGTGATTGCCAAGCATGGCAATGCAAGACGCGTCTCGTGTTTCGGGGCCTTGAGACAGTGGTTGTGCTTTTTCTAACCCTAGCAAACAGGTGGGTGTCGCAGGGGTGGAGGATGTTGGACGTTTCAAAGGCTTGGGTTTACGGTTCTCGAGGTTTGGGGTCTCAAATGCATCAGGCACGCTTGCAAAAAGAAGCTGGGTGTTCCCGCGGCCCATAGATGTAAACATGGACTTGCGTCTGGTGCTGCCCTGGTTGCCCTCGTGCTTGAGATTGACCGGGCGCCGTACCAATTGACAGCTGCGGCTGCATTGCCCCCTGGATATCGGATACAGAGTTGCATCCAGAAATACCGCCGCCATCTGTAAAACGTTGTCATCCTGGCACGTGTGGCCGGCTGCACTGGAACTCAGAGAAGGACCCTGAACACCAGAAGCTGGAGAATACCTTGCAGTGCATCGTAAGCTCCTTGCTGGGCAGCCTGAGGTGCCATGCCGTCGAACTCTAAAACTCTCCACAACAAACCCCGAACTCGTAACCCGCACCCCTATGTAAACTCTACAATCCGTAAACTCTAAACCTCTTTCAACCACTCAGAACCCTGGTCCATATAGTAACCCTGAACAGCAGGAATCCTTTAAGGTTAAAACCCTTCCCCGCAAGTACCCTTAACCCTAAACCCTAAACCCTACACCCTAAAACCCTAAACCCTAAGCCCTCCTGCAAGTACCCACTGGGCTGTCGGCGCTCTTCGGGCGCTTCAGGCTCGTGTTGAGCCCGGTGTTCACCTCGACCTGGGAAAGGTTGGGGTTTATTTAGGGTTTAGGGTTTGGGCGCAAGGATGTCTTTTATATGGGCTTTGTACTTGAGGATATGACGACCCTGAGCCGGGCTATCTTACGTATCGGCCTTACTAAGCCTTTTTGATCCCTTTCACAAGTGCTAGCCTAATCGAAGGTCCACAAACTGTGAAACATGAAGTCGTTGTTATGGCACCGGCTTCAGAAGATCCAGTACCATAGGCTGCCATTATGCTTCTTGTGGGGGTTCGTGAGCTTTGACTTGGTGCTGGGCTTTAGAGCTTAATCCTAAACCCTAAACCCCTAGACCCTAAACCCGTAAACCCCTAAACCCTAAACTCGTAGTTCCGGGTCTCTACTTCCTCTAAGGCCCCAAAATTAGAATGACCTTTAGCAGGATTGCAAAACTTCATGGGAGCCGTATTCCATGGTCCTACTTGGCAAGGGTTCCACACTAACTTCGGCAGAGGAGTATTTGTTACGAGTTCTTTAGCTTCCATTAACTCTCTTGCCCGAAACAAAGGTGATGGTGATTTGAAGTCAACCACAGCTGGTTTCAAACAGATCGGTACATGTACAACAAAAATATGCTTGCGAAATCCTCCCCCCCCGGTACGCAAGCCATAATTCGTGCCCGTGCAACGGTCATGCCTAAACTTTATCTATACATCCGTGCAACAGGCTTGCAAACCTCAAAAACCAGAAGCCGGCAGCGAACCCATCAAAACTTGGTAGACCCTGACATTAACCTGCCACTGCATAACGGCGGAAGGGTGCTCTGTGAACGAGGGTTCCTCTTCGGACCCTTGCCACAAGACTTGGAAGCTGCCTTCGGAGGGCCCGAAAAGGAACCACAATGTAGAAAGACACCCAACTTAATCAAAGCAGCACGCCAGGCACAAGCACAAAGGCTCAACCCCAGAGCCCCCAAATCTAAACCCCAAAGCTCTTCGCGCCAAGCCCATCCTACCCGAACTTGATCCAACGCACCAACGAAACCCTAAACCCTTAACCCTAAACCCTAAACCCCTATAAAACCCTTAACCCTAAACCCCTAAAACCCTAAACCTAAACCCCTATAAAACCCTAAACCCTAAACCCCTATAAACCCCTAAACCCTAAACCCCAAACCCTGAACCCTAAACCCCCAAAATGAGGCAGCAACGAACGGCTTCCTTGGAGCAGCTCGCTTGGCGAAGAGCTCCTCGAGGCCGTTGGATTCGGGTTTCAAGCTCTTTTTTGACCCATTGAGTTTAGGGTTTGGGGTTTAGGATTTATGGTTTTGGGGTTTAGGGTTGGGGCTTAGGATTTAGGGTTTCAAGCTCTTTTGACTCATGGAGTTTAGGGTTTAGGGTTTAGGATTCAGGGTTTAGGGTTTAGGGTTCAGGGTTTAGGATTTCGGGTTTAGGGTTTAGGGGTTAGGCACCCTACCCATAGGCTCCATAGTAGTTCCTTTGAGAGGGTTTTTGCATTACTATGGTTACTATGAGATGGAACCCCAGGAAGAAACATAATCCCTCCCTTCTCCACGTCCTGCTTTACCCGAAGCCCTAAACCGATAGTCTCGTATTCTGCACCACGAACCCAGACCCGGCATCAGCTGCATTCACGTAGGTCGAAGAATTTTCTGGTAAGCCCTAAACCCCTAAACCCC